TCAATTTTTTTCAAAATATTGGAAATTTAATGTACGTAAATTTGTGGCCGCCACTATACATTTTTTTATGATTGTCAAAAAAATATCTTGGCCAACATTCAATTTAGAATCAATTGTCGTTAAATACTTATCGCATGAAGAAACGAAAATGACTGATAATAAGAAGAGAAGTGAGACACGAAAATGGAATAAACGTCTGTCGCATCTGCTAGGAAATTTTATCTTGTACATTTTTATTTGGAAAGGAAATTCTGCCAACTGAATCTCACTAGATATGCATTGAGACTGTCTCATACGGTTTCTGTACTCTTGAAATCTTTCGCAGTGAACTCGTCAGTGAGACTGGTGGCTAAAGATCCCAGGTTCCTGACTCTAGTAACAAGCTGATCTTCGTAATAACGAATCTCTAATAGGATTACCTGGATTTAAGTGACGGAGATGTCGTAAATAAATTGAAAAATCCATAGTTTCGCTTCAATATTTCAACTTTATATGCACTATTATTTTTGCTTGCTGGGTAACCATTCGAATATAATATATCATAGAAACCAGAGAAAATTTCCAATCATTTGTAAGTAATAAATAATTTGCAAGCTTAATTATATATGGGTTATTTGGGAAATATATACAGTATGTAACCAAAATTTAGATTGCCTCATAGCTATTAAATTGAAATTGTTTTGGGATCTGAAGATTAATGTTTGGGTAAATGTTTTTATAAAAATGTGCTGTCTCCGACATTTATCCTATTTATCTTAAATCTAAATATTCAAGCATTGTTATATTTTAACATCATTTCTGGCCAATTAATATCTCACATAAACGGCGTAATATAAATATTGTGCTATATAAATATTAAATTTTGTGTTAATCACGTGTAAATTAATTGTATTATAATATAATATAAAAAATTTACAGAGTCGTAAAGGCATAAAAATGCATAAAGGAATTGATAACGATGCGAATTAAATGGGAAATCTGGAAATTGAGATAAGAGAATATATTTCGAATTTGAAAATTTATAACTGTCCATGTTATATACTCAAATGAAATTTAAACATGAGGTTATTCAAAGGAGGATATTATAATGTTATGTCATGAATAATTTGTTACTTCTCTCGGATATCAATTGAATTAAAGAGCAAA